TTCTTACTTTACAGCATTTTTTCACACCTGCCTAAAACTTTTGCACAGTACTGTACTTTCTGTCAGTCAAATTCTGGGCACAACTGTAATTATTCTTGTCTCTAAGCCTTTACTTATCAGGACTGGCTTTTATTAGATATGCTTCCCAAACTCTTGGTCTTTCACTGAAGATTCTAAGTAAGTAACTAAATAGTAACCACAAGATTCAGACCCTCTCATCTAAAATTAGATAAGTGGTCACTGGGGAGTGGTGCAGGCATGGTTTTGGAAAGTTCCCTCAAACAAAGTTTTCCTGGGATCAAGTTTAGACTTTCTGATTTATTTGTACAGGTTTGGAGCTGAAGATGGATTGCTGGAGTTAAAAGCTTAGGAATCTTATGATTTCTGTTTATTTTATACAGTACTTTTATTGATTTGATTGCTTTCGTTGTCCAGTGTTCTGGAAGTTGTACATTTCCAGAGGTGTGTTAGAAAGAGGTGTTAAGGAAATAATATTTTACAATGACCATTTAACCTTTCACTTCTGAGTAAAAGCAGTTGGCATGTTGAAAACCTCCTGCTTGTATATGGCATTGGATTTCATAATTTAGATTCTACACTCCTGTAAAAGTTCAAATCCTGTTCTGTTTTTAGTTTGATTGACTTGAGTTGCACATAGTGTTCTCAGTATAGTTGTGCTGTAGCTATCATACATATCAAAACTGCAATATCAAGCCACAAGTGGCAAATACAAATAAGAGATTATCATTTTTAAACAGATACTTTTTTAAATTTAATGATCATTTCCAAGCTTAACAGAAATGCTTCTTTCTGTCTATAGCATCATCAAATCATCCAACAGTACATGGTGACCTTGGAGAACCTTCTATTTACAGCAGAATTGGATCATCACATATTGGCTGTATTTCAGCAGTTCTGTGCACTGCAGGCCTAAGTAACTTTTTTTTTTTTTTTTTGTACAGGACTTAATTTCATCTTGTTAAGTTTAAGATGGAAACTTTGATAAGAAAGGAAAAAAAATCTTTTAATCTGAAAATATGTTAACTGTGCTGTCCTAGATAAACTACGCAGTGCTCGAATGGGGTGACTTTGGGCAGTAGGGGCCTTATGCTAGATATGATTGCTGGGTGATTGGGATGGAATAATGCGTGGATTTCTAATTTTGAAATGGATTGAATGTTGACTTTGCCATAGCATCTGTTTTGTTCCCTCCTATTGTTTCTATAAAAATAAAAAATAGATAATAAATAGAATTGGCTCTTTGCTTTCCTTTGCATATGAATGAATTCCATGATTCTAATGTGAAACAAATGTCAAAACATATGAATTTGTCTTCAGATTGCCTTTTTGTAATATCCAAAACTCTATAAGAAACTGAACCTAAAATATGTGAATGCTTAAATGGTCAAATCTGTAAAGC